ATCTACACCGGTACAAAAACCATATCAGGAACGTAAAACTGATAGATAAAAGACTCCCGGAGTAAATGGCTTAAACGCAACGAGTTCTGCACATAATTATAATATTAAGGTAGCCTTGTTTTAATGCAAAAGAGTAACATCTTACCCAGATTTCGGAAACCATCCCGCGTCGTTCCAGTACCTAACGTTTGAACTCGAGTCTTTCACTTAACCTTCAATTTATAGTATGCAGGTACGGCTTGAAGATGTTTACTTATCTTTACCAAATTCTAAATTTATTCGTAATATTTACTAAAACTGTTAGATGTCTGTTAATAAAATACATCTATATAAGAATATTAAAGCGAAAAAGTCTGTGCAATTTATTATTAACGTTCTGGGCAAAAAACGTTTTTTGCAGAATTGATCCGAATGTATTCGATTTAAATGCAGATTGCTTTTCGGAAATTGGAATCGCGTTTTGTCCATTTCTAGTTAAAAACCGTGTGTAAAATTGAGTCTGTAAATTCTGCATTCAACTTTCACTAGTCACTTTCAGTTTCTTAGTCAGTTTATGGAGGGTAGATTCTGTAAAGCAACTAGATGCTGAACAGCTGCGATAAACGCCAGCCGTCATATCCAAACAAAATAAAGGGAAGGAAAACTTTTAGCCCTTATGTCGATTTCCATCACAGTTTCATCATTTGGAACCATTTGTGGCGCTATACATTTTATGACGCTTTTGATGGGGCGCTGATCTTTGTTCTGGGCTATCAAAGAAGTGGGCGTCGCTTATTTATGGCAGAATCTGCAACTATGTGACAAGCATGGTGTGCACTTTACTCTTTCTTCCCACAGAGGTTTCATCATTTGTCTATCTCGAAAGGAAAAAAGGCGAGTGATCTGACAGGGTACGGCAGATCGCCAACAACGCTGTTCCGGTCACATATGCCTTGCAAACGAGTAGTTAGCAGACACGAGACTTTTCACAGTGAAAGAACACCTCAACCTCGAAGAAGCCAACTGCGCTAAATAGTCATTACAAGGTACTTTAACAGAGCATGGGATTGCCAATTGTAATAGAACGGGAAATGCCTAACTCTCCAACATCCAAAATTTTGTAATACTCAAAATTCAGTTTACAGATGAGCCAAATAACAGGAAAATAACTTCAAATTCAATATACGATAGCATGTTGCCTGGAGGAATGGAAGATTAAGTAAATTCAGTTATATCGAAGATAGTCATTTATGAAAGTCCCGACCCAGTGGATAGGATAGATTCCTGCCCAGCCTCTTCTCGTTTCACTTGCTTTCGATCAGATTTCCTCTAAGTTGTGCATCTTAAACCATTTGAATATTAAACTTTACGTTCACTGCATGCATACTCCCAGAACATGTTGACTAATTTGACCGCAATACCACAGTTTTTGTGCGCCTAGCCTAATCACTTTCCACCCAACTAATAAATAAAGTATGTACTTTTCAAGCTGTACGCGGCAAACAAGGACTCCGACCGAAGCCAAACACATTTCTCTTTAACAAACGGATCCTAATAGTATACTTAAATCATCGCTTATTATGTGCATGACGCTATAATTCTTCTAACTTTGCATTCCATTTATCACTAGAGATCAAGCAAATTAAAAATATTCTAGCCCATAAAACGTTCAGCAATCGTTACTATAGCTGGAGATTAAGACTAAACGTCTGACAGTGAATTATCGATCAAATCATTATTCGTTATCTTAAACAACCTGCGTTGCAATCAGTATAATTACTGTCTCTCTGCGTTTACTGCTAGCTGCACAAGCCTCTATAGACTGAAATTTTTCTAATCAGTTAGAAGGTTATTGCGGCTTACCTGACCATAACATACACAGTCTTCGAATACGGCTGGATATTTTCAGCTCGCTTTCAAACGATGTTAAGCGCAACCAGAATCCATTCAAAGAAGAAGAATTGTGAATATAGGGGCAACAGCAATTTTGTTGAACATTAAATAAGACCCTTCTATTTAATCGAAATCGCAAACAATTCTGCCTTTCTGCAAAGAAGAAGGAGAAATGCAATAAACACGAATTAAACATCAAATAAATATTAGGTTATTAGCATAATATTTAGCATTATACTGAATCTCTAGCGCTGCCTCGTCCTCTAATAAAGGAGGACTTCCACTTGACTCTCGGCAGACTTCCCGCTCTCGAACCGGAAGCAATTTTTCTGTTATCGCCGGAATTCCGGAATGTTGGGCCATCCAATCACAATTAGGCAATATGGACTTCGCGCTCAAACATTTTACAGCAGTTCAAATGACACGGCGATATTTTGACACGTTACAGATCTGTGAGCATAACTACCATAGTTAATTCATTTAATGGCAATCAAATGAGGCATGGAAGAACTCTATATGTTATTTGGAGTTCAGATTATTATGATAGTTGCCTAATCATAGGTCAACGCCGCCAATTAATTGCAGTCCAAAATTTCAAACCATACAATGACCCAGAACAATAACGGATCCGGTGACAATCATTTATGGACCTGGCTTTTTTCAACCACAACTTCTTTCCTTAGGTTCGCACATCACATTAAGTGTTGCAACCAATAGACAGCAGTCAGATTGGCCAGAGCGAATTGTAATCATGAAATTCTAAGAAGCAGGTACCATCAGGAAACGTGACCGCACCGGATGCACATTTCCGCATAAAAATACGAACAGTCTATGTGATCACTATTGTGTGCAAGTCACTGCATTGTTACTCATTTCTTGGTTCGCTGAACCGCATGGCATGAGTACGAAAATCAACACCGCACTATAGGTTCCATGAGAGCCTGTAACAGGCGGTTCTTACCATATGCATCAACGTATATCTATAGTGATTAACGTTGTCACAGGGCTGCATGACTGATGCTGCCTTGTCGCGATTGTACAGCCAATTTGTTTCTTTGATCCCGATACACTCTAACTATCGGAGAGAGGGGACATGACTTTCTGCCGCTGCGCGTATACAGTCCCAGCTGTCTTTTAGCAATAGACCTTGACCTTGTCTTGGAAAAAGGAAGCGAGATTAAAACTCCTTATTTTAATAGCTACAGCTGTTTTCTCCGCTAATAGCACCATTGCATCGTTCTGAAAATCGTTATGACTTTGATAATTCCATTAACATCCTAATGGATCCTTGCAAGACGCTCTAAACCTATTATGAAGGTGAGATGATGTGAGATGCATTTGATTCGGCCGCAAATTAATGGTCTGTTGGAGAACCACTGAGTACTATAAGCAGATTACGATAAGTGTACAGCCATCAAATTTGGCTATTTGAAAAGCTGAACGTTACTTGATGATGATTGCAGCAGAATCAAGATGTAAGACTTACTCGCCATTTATGCAACGTTACAGCGCTATGCAGAATGACATTGCGTCATCGACGTCTTTTCTGTTTTCAATGAACTATGCAATGACCTCAAATGCGTTTACAAGCGTATCTTTCAAATGTTGAATTCAATGTTTAATGTTAAAGACGCCTATATAAGTAGAAACACTGTTTCACTCTTCTCTAAGCAAAACGGGGCAAATTTAGTTTTTTATTCTTCTGATGAAATAATCACTGAAAATTGCTCGCCTGTCGTTGTTACTTTCCGCATGTCTGCTGTTCATCGATTATAAGTTGATTATCGGTATTCGATTGATTTTTTTTGTAAAAAATGTTGTCAATAATTTCTGACCTCCTTTGTAATTTTCTACTTAAGGTTCTGCTCATTTTAAACTTATTTCGTTTGCATCAACGCGCAAAACTACTTTTCTCGAACTCGTACGGCATGAACAGGCGTCAAAAGTTTTGCCCACGAGATTCGTATTGCTGAAATATAAAATTTTGTTTTAGGCACTAATAGTATGAAGGAACTATTCGGGTACATTTGACCCGTAACCGGTAGCTCGTTTTACTGTTTTCCTTCTCTGATTTATTCAGGTGGAAGAAACGCGCAGCCCTTGGAAAACACTTCATGAAATTGCTGTTCACATTATTTAAACGAAACAATAGATCATCAAAAAGATCGATGGTCTGAACAGATCTTCTAGCTAGGCTGCACTGAACCGAAAATGGATTCCGCCATAGCATGTTGTTCACTATTTTCAAATCCAAACCATTTCTTCTGCAGTGCCTAAGAGGTCGGCTTCTTAACTCTTGAGGTGCCGAGTAAAAATTCTTTCAGCACAAATCTTTATTTTGACCGCGAATTTCTTTGATTTCCTTTGCTTCGATGCAACTAGTCGGAAACGGGTGCTTAGTCGGTGACTTAGGAAAAATAGGAAAATGTAGTAGTAGTGCCAGAATGGACGAGGTGTACGGCCTGTCAGATATGAGCCCCTTCCGTAGTTGCATGTCTCCTTGACCCATTTGATAGCTGATTATGCGGTGTAACAACCACCACTTAATGCAACCCTGATTTCTTCCTTTTTTCTGACAACCTGAAAATAACAACGCAGCTAGCATCATCGCTTGCAGCATGAATATGAAACAATAAGACGGTAAGGAGAACGGCAGAAAATATTTGTTTAATTCACGTGTAACCCAACTGAAGGTGAAGAAAAAAACATTCAAGACAGTTTAGCATCGCGTTTGAGAGCGCTCCATCTGTCTGATTGATCTTTTAATAAATCTTATGATATTCTTCCATTTCTTTTTCCATCCACCCATTGATAATCTTCAGTGTGTCTTAACCAGAAAAATCCTATTTGACCGGCTCTATTCTGGCATCCCAATTGCATATTCATATCATCGGCAATTGTGACCCTTGATTTGAAAAAGAAGAGACTCAAAGTAATAAGATACAAGACGAATAAGGTACTTGCAAGACAGCAGCGTTTCATAAAAGCTTTGATTTCTGCCGCTTCTCTCTGATGGCACAATCTTTCGCTCAGAGTGCAGGGCGCACAGCCACAAATGAGGTGGCCAACTAGACAGATTTGCAGAAAAACTGCTTTGCTTTATTGCTGAGAGGTGTTTTGCTAGCTCTAGCCATCGACGTGAGCAACGACCAAGAAACAATCAATACGAAACAAATTTCAAACAGAAAAAACGTCTGTTATTTAACTAACGAATAGGTAAATATTGATGATGAAACTGTTCCCTACTTTTCTGTCATTGCCGGTCGTTGCGCTTTTTGCAGCGTCGCCAAG